AAACGTTAAAGTTAAACGTTAACGTTAACGTTAACGTTAAGTTAAGTTAAGTAAGTAAGTAAGTAGTAGTAGTAGAGAGAGAGAGAGAGNNGAGAGAGAGAGAGAGTATCTTAGAATTTTAGAGAGAGAAACTATATCAAATTTTAGAGAGAGAAACCACCTAAATTTTTTTTTAGAGAACAACTATCTTAAAATTTTTAGAGAGATAAACTATATCAAATTTTAAGTTTTAGAGAGAGAAACTTTATCAAAATTTTGAGATAAACAACTTGAAACTTTTAAGAAAGAACTCTAAAAAATTTTAGAGAGAGAAATTATATCAAATTTAAAGTTTTAGAAAGAAAATATCTTAAAACTTTAGAGAGTGAAACTATATCAAGTTTTAGAGAGAGAAATTACTTTAAAAAAATTTAGAGATAGAAACTAGCTCAAAAATTTTAGAATTTTTTATTCAAATTTTAAGTTTTAGGGGGGGAAAGCATTTTTAAGTTAAGTGAAAAACTATATCTAATTTTCAAAAGATAAACTACCTGAAAAAATTTTAAGATAGAAAACCATCTCAAAATATTTAGAGAGAAATTTTCAACTGTCTGAAATTTCAAAGTTTTAGAGAGAGAGAGAAACTATCTCAAAATATTTGGAGTGAAACTATATCAAATATAAAGTTTAAGACAGGTTTCTCTCTAAAAATGTTGAGATAGTTTCTCACTCTAAATATTTTCAGGTAATTTCTCTCTAAAATTTGGTATAGTTTCTCTCTAGAGTTTTTATAAAGAGAAATTTTTTTGATATATATTGTTCCATACCAAATATGTGCAAAATTTTCACATGAAAATATTTTACACAAAAATGTTTCATACTTACCAAATGTGTCTTAAATAGTGTAAACCCTAGTTATAGATGACCCAAACGAGGGATTTTACATAACCTGAGTATTATCTACAAACTATCCAAATAGTCGTTTCTCAATAACCAGATTTTGGCATAACCAAGGTTTACATGACCATGTTACTATCCAAAAATAGATTTATTAAGAGGCCCGCATTCTACATATGCGAGCTTAGCCACATAAACATCAAGTCCTTAAAAAAATAATGGACATCCAATGTCATCTGTTTATGTTGCCAAATTTTCAGAAGAAAAGCCACTGATAGATGGGCCAATGTTCTGGCCCTCTATATAAGCTATTTCTGCAGCAAACAGTTAAAAGAGAGTGGTGAAGGAACACTTTTCTGAATGGAGGTTCCATGTTAGGTGAAAAACTGATTCCTGGCCTCATACTGCAAAGTTTCAGAGGTAATCTAGAGAACCATAGTAGTGGAACATAATCTATTACCACCACAATGATTCATTATAAAGGGACGAGTCCAATATTTGTGGACTTTCTGTTTCTATTACAACCACCAAAGCACCAATTTTAGAACCAGAAAAAAAGAAGAGAGAAAAATGGGAGTGAAGAAACAAAGATTATCTAATGTTACATTGAGCTGTAACGTATATGCTTATACAATCTGGGCGCCTCGGCCGCAAAACCACAGGCATATTACGTCAACAAAGAGGAAAACAAAAAAGGCCTGTACAACCCTAGCATCTATCACCCTCCATACACAGACCCCAGAAAATAGAAAAACAAAAATACAGAAGGCACTGAGCCTTGCTCTCGAACCAATCAACCTCGACCATCGATCAACAATCCCGAATCCAAAAAACGGAAGAACAAAAGAGAATATACACGTGGACTTCTAGCACTGATAGACGGAGAAAGTCTTAGACCTCCACATTGAACTAAGTGTCCTCCCCAACCTCCTAGAACTTGACTTGCAAAGCGGCTTTGACCCATCCCCACCCTCTCTCTTACTCCTTGCCAGTTGCTCCCCACCTTGCAGCCCTGACTCAGGCAGCGGAGGCTGCTGCTGAGGTGGCGGTGATGGTAGTTCCCGCTGCCTCCACTGCCTAAAATGCAAAAGCAGCTTCTGAGCCTTATCTTTCCCTCTAGGGGTCCCACTCGCTGACAATGAAACAAGTGCCGGGATCACCCCTTCACTAAGCACCATCTTTCCACATCGTTCATCGCCCTCGCACAAAGCCAAAAGGCATGATGCCGCTTGCACCCTCTCGCCCACTTCTCCAGTCTCCAAAACCAATGCAAGGGCCCCAATCAAACCAGCGGTGGAAACCATCTCTCTCCTTGCATTTTCATTAGCCGCAAGGTTTGCAAAAATGGTGACACACATTTCGGTTTGGAACGTTTGGTCAATGAGGAGGCGGGCAAGTGCAGGTATGAGGCTGGCAGAGAGGAGGTGGGGGGCATTGACAGGGAGGGTAGAGAGGATGTAGAGGGTATGTATGGCATCAAGCTTGCATTGGGTGGACATTGGTGGTGTTCCCGAGGATAGCAGGAGGCAGACGAGGAACTGGACAGCAGGGGTGGAGGCAATGGCAGTGTTGCCTTGGTCAAGGGAAGAGAGAGAGAGGTAGAGGGCCACAGCAGCCTCATAGGCCTTACCTTGAAGCATCTCTTGCAAAAGGGGGAGCACAACTGCCGATAAGGTTGTCCTTTTGTTCCTGCAAAATTGTGGAAATCATGAGTTTCGAGATTAATACACTGGGCTATTTGTGAAAATGGTTACTCCATGTCCACGACTCTAAAATCCAGAAAAAGGAGATTCCGAACCACAGCACATATATAAATTAGTTAGGAAATTGTTTATTATAAGCCCATTCACTTTTGGTACAAGAAAGCCGCAATCACTCTTAGCCATTGGATATGAAATTTGACAGATTGAAGTATGTCACAATTCGAGAAATCTCTATTTTGGACTTTGTGCCCACTAAATGAAACCTCCCCAACCACCAGATTTCATATCAAATGGTCAACAGTAATTGTGATCTCTTTGTACATAAAATATATAGTCCTATTTTATATATTTTCATTAGTTAAAAAGCATAGAACTGAGGAACTTCAGAAGTTCTTGGATGTCTTCAAGTCACACCACATCTGCTTTTCATGATGCGGTAGCAGCCAATCCATGGAGTGGGGCAGGAGTCCACCAAGAAACTCAAAGTTACAAGGAAAATAATATTTTGGTATAATGGTTTGACGAAACCCTCAAAAAAGGAAATAATTGGGTTACTCGAGCGATTGAACCTCAGAATACAGCAGGTTTTCCTGCCTTCAATGTTCTGATTATCAAGGAGTTCGAGAAATCAGATTAATGAAACACATTTCACTTCCTACGATATCCAACATCCATTTCAAACCAGCAAAAATTATCAAAGCATGGGATAGAGGCATATTCCTATATACACACCTATTGTTGTTGACAGTAAGATTGAAGAGAGCCAGAGCCCCAGTCTCTTGTGCCTTATCATTTGCCCCTTCTATGGCCACCTTCAAGAACCTCACCAGTGCTTCTATGAAGCCATTGGCACCCATGCAACTCCGCCGCTCCTCATCATCCTTAACAAGAAACCTAATTTGCTCGGCTGCTCTACGACGCCCATCCATGTCCGTCTCGTCATTTAACTCACTCATCAGTCTCTCATACATAACAAACCCATCAGCATCATTACTCAACCCAGAATCATCCAAATTTGCAGTCATATTCTCTTCCCTGTCTACTGGAGCAACTTTACTATCACAACTATCCTTGGCTACACCAAGAACTGCTGGAACTTTTCCATCAGACACAACCTCAATCTCCTCAAACGGCACAACTTTAATTCCCTTTAATCTACCAGTATCAATGCTTCCAATAGATCTTGAATTTGTACTCTTACACTGTGACAAAACCCAACTCCAATAACTGAAGTCAAGAGACTCAGGGGGCCTATCAGGAACACTCATCCCATTCTGCTCACACCAACTGGCAATCAAACCTTTTACACAGTAATTGGGGGTCAAGGAAAGATGAGACAACTTTTGTTGGGTCTTTGGGCAGGTGTCATGCCCATCATCAAACCACTTCTCGATGCAAACACGCTCATAAGTCTGACCAGATGAAATGATCACAGGGTCATACATGAGCTGCAAAGAGATGGGGCATCTAAATTCTTCAGGGGGGACAGGAATATTGCCCGATCTTCGACAATTTGATTTTGAATTGAACGAACTAAGCTTTGAAATTTGGCGGTCAAATATCCTTCCACAACCCCCAACCTCTTCAATGGAGCTCTGAACAGTTGGGGAACATGGTGCTGATCCCTGTGAGTCTCCATCATCTGAGTATTCGCTGCTTCTGAATATCTTGGAGTACTTTCTCATAAGGTGCAAGAGATAAGAAACAATTGACTCCTTCCTCTTGTCATCCTCACGATGAGCTCTTTCAATGAGCCTCTTAAGTGCTCTTCTCTCTGCAAGAGCAGCTGTTGACGAAGTGATGCCTAGCTTTGAGGCTGCTTGGTGAAAGGCCTCAAGCTCCGCAACATCATTACAATTGCTGTTACAATGCAGATCTTGCTGAAGCAATTGTATCACATCATCACCAACTTGTTTCTCAGATGGATCAAGAGAAAATACAGTTGCCTCGAGCTTGCTGACAATCTCCAAGATCTGTAAAACATTAATGATCAGTACTAAATACATTGAAACAACAAAATTGGGCAATACCAAAACCACCTTCCTCAATCGAAGAACTAAGGAAGAAAATCTAGTGCAACTACCAACCAGCAAAATTTTCAGGTTCTCTCAACTTCCAATAAAGATGGAATATGGACTTCAACTTTAATCAATGATACAATCAATATAAAAACCAAAAGACAATATTTATCAAAAGGAAATTAAACATCTATGCTGCTAGAAGCATTCTAGTTCAATAGCATCAAAAGTCCATTCAGAAGGCAGAAACCAAATTTTTGGCTGATCCTCCAAGTTGAAATTAAAGAAGAGAAGAGAACAATGAGATAGGTTCTAGATAGAGAAAGAGAGGAAAGAAAATAAAGGAAGAAAGAAAGAGATGTAAGCACGTGAGAGATAGAGAGAGAAAAATAGTGCTTGTTGGTCACGTGGTCTCTTATGACCTCCACCCCTCTTATTTATATTAAGTTATAACCTAATTACAATCTATGGACAATACTGCCCTTGCTTACAGAAATGAGACAAAAAAGTCCTAAACAAAGATAGAAAACAGTTCTGCCCATCAAATACAATAAAGCTTAATTATTTTATTTCCAACACTCTAGTGGTGCACAATTAAATGTCGACTTCAGCAATGAAAGTATGCTGAAATTTTAAGCGGCATAGATATAAGATATAAAGGTTTTGTATAGTATGAACAGTTAATCGGACACACTATGGGATGTGTTGCACTCTGCAAAAAGAAATTCAGATTTTGATAGCTACCAGAACAAAAACATTTTTGATCAACAACTAGACAATACTCCCACTGCGGTCGCCAAGAAGGAATGCATTCTTCACATCAAGTTGATGAAGTTTCCAGTTGAGTTTAGAGGCCATAGCCAAGATACAGCGAAAAGTATGAGCCTTAGAAACTGGGCTAAAGGTTTCATCAAAATCAATTCCATATTCCTGACCGAACCCTTTGGCTACCAGTCTTGACTTCAGTCTTTCTATTGAACCATCTGATTTGACCTTGACTTGTACACCCACTTTAAGCCCACAATGTTTTTTCCATGAGGCAATGGCACTAAAACCCAAGTTTTATTCCTTTTGAGGGCATCGATTTCCTCTTTCATGGAAGCTAGCCAACCAGTGTCAGTGGCAGCATCTTCAAGTGGTTGGTTCTTGGATTTGGAAAATTTGCATTGCAAAGACTATGATCGGAAGACAACTCACAATATGAAGTAAACTTTTCAATAGGTTGCTTAGTTTTTGCACAATTTGAAGTGAAGTTTGGAGTGGAAGCGGTTGCAAAGTACACATGGTAGTCCGTTAGGTGTGTAAAAAGATGTGTGGAATGAGAAGAATGACATTGTGGCAAAGGTGGGTCTTCAAAGGGTGGTACAAGTAGATTAGGTGATGTGATGAGAGATTCATCAAAATTTAAAATAGGTGAGAGCTGAGGTTGTGATGAGCGCTCCATTGAGAAAGAAGGTTGCGAATAGGTGATAGCTGAGGTTGTGTTGAGCGCTCCATTGAGGAAGAAGGTTGCGAATCAAACCTGTCAAAGGGAGAGGGTGATTGCTGAGGATGACGTTGTTGAGATAGTTCTTTTGTAACTCCAAAAGAAGAAGGAACTTGAGAATGAGCTCCTCTCTGTCACAAAAATGATATAGGAGTGGGTGCTCCAATTTCCATTGGCATGGTATTACTTATGTGACTTGGAGAACAAGGATTCTTAAAATAGTATCTTGTTTCATAAAATGTTACATGTCGGGCAATAAACAAGCAACATGACACTTTGTCATATCTGACAAAACCACATTCTTGAGCCTTAGGAGAGAATTTGTTTCTTTGAAGGAGGAACATGTGGAAAACAAACACAGCCAAAGATATGAAGAAAGGGATAATCTGGTTTCCTATGGAAAAGCATTTGAAAAGGAGATATGAAAGATAACACAAAGCTTGGTATTCTATTAATGAGATACACTGCAGTGGTGAAAGCTTCTGGCCAAAGAAACTATGGGAGACCACTTGCAAACATCATTAAGAGGCTACTCTCAACAATATGACGATATTTGCATTCTACAAAACCATTTTGTGCTTGTGTATATGGATATGAGCATTGATGATGAATACCATGTTGACTCAAATATTCTCTCAAAGCATGAGAGGTAAATTCACCACCACCATCAGACCTAAGAGTTTTTAGTTTGCAAGCAAATTGGCGTTTAACATAGGTATGAAACTTAACAAAGCAATTAAACACATCAAACTTTTGTTTCAAGAAAAATATCCAAATATATCGAGTATAATCATCCACATAAATTACATAAAACTGTGAGCCTGATAATGATGTAACCGGTGCTGGACCCCCACACATCATGGTGAATTAGATCGAGAGGAGCATCAGTTTTTCTATCAATGGAGTTAAGTACAACTTCAGAATGCTTGCCCAACTGACAAGATGAACACAAGGAACTAGAAGGCAAATTATCAACAAAATTTGGGACAGCTAACTCTCTTCCAAGACGATGAACAACAGAGAAATTAGGGTGACCTAAGCCCTCATGCCACAAAAACGACGTTCCTCTTTTAGCTTTTGAGATGGACACAACAAGACCATATTGTTAATCATTTTGGAGAACATAAGAACCTTCCCTCAACATGCTCTCAGCAATCACCTTCCTGCCCTGTAGATCCTTCACAACACAACCATGAGGAGTAAACCCAAAGCCAAAATCATTAGTAAATTGGGATACAGATATTAGTTGTTTCTTTAATTTGGGCACAAGTAAGACATTTGGAAAGAGAATTCTGGGAGCTAACAGGAATTACTTCGATACTTTGATTGCCGAAGTTCAAATATATATTCCAGAAATAACTTTGGTAAGAGGGATGCCAAAGTTAACATGAACAGAGGTACTTCAGCAAAAATTGACAACAGAGGGTTACTTCGGTATGCGGTTGCCGAAGTTGACATAAACAGAGATTACTTCGGCACTTCGAATGCCTAAGTTCAAATATACATTCCAGAAATAATTTGGTAAGAGGGATGCCGAAGTTGACATGAGCAGAGGTTACTTCGGCACTTATATTGTCAAACTACTTTTGAGCATCTCAGAGACTACTTCAGTTTATGTGATGCCGAAGTTCTTTCTAGACAACAAAGGGATAAGTGAAGCAAGAACCAATGAAGAAGTAAGAAATGTACTGATTGAGGAGTAAGAAAACAAGAGCAAGAAGACAAGAAACAATAGTAAAGACAAGGAGAACTAAATACAAGAAATGAGATTGGCTAAATAGAGAACAAAACCAATAGAAACTGATCTTTTACAAAGAGGAGAAGCGATAGAAACTGAGAGTAGCAGAGATTAGAAAGATGAGAGCATCGAAATAATAGAGAGACGAATATAGAAGATTTACACACCAGAGAGAGACACCAATTTCCGGTAGGAAAATTTTCCACAGCAGTTAGAAAGAGAAAAACACCAGTTTCAAGATATTTGAAGAGCTGATTTTGAGATTGGTAGAGGGAGAAGTAGCACTTAACTAAGGATGCAATGAAGAGAAAGATTGCACTTATAAATTACATCTCTGTGGAAGAATGAATAGGATTAACCGGCTCTCATACCATGTTTAGAATTGGAAATGCTAGATTGAGAACTTTGAGAGAGAGTGAAGAGGAAGAAGAACCCACCAACTATTATTACTTCATGTTCACCAAAGCATTGACTAGAGCCAAACAACTTGAGTCAATAAACAAGCTCTCAATGCACCAAATGCACGTTCGGCTTGGGGGGGGGTGTTAAGAGAGAGATAGTAGTATAGTATATAGTCCCTTACCCAAAGGGTAATATAGTCATTTAATTCTTTTTGTAACATATATATATATTCTTTTCATTGTAAATGAAGATTGAGGTGCTTCGTATGAAGTGGGTTCTTCTTCCTCTTCTCTTTCTATCTCAAAGTTCCCAATCTAGGGCCTCCAATTCTAAACAAAAAAAAAAATATGAAGTTACATTAGATGCCTAAAACCCTAAAGGTGAATTTATCACACTAGTTCAGCTTATGAAACATGAGCTCCAAAGACCTACTTCAATGAATTCAAGAGAAAGTGGTTATTCAATTCAGTTCATTTTAATTCTTCAAATCATAGTGGCAAATCTCATTCTTGAAATGTAGGGGAAAACAAAGTAAAGGTGAGTCATCATAAAAATTATTAATATTTCAGAAAATTAGGAAGTGTGAAAATAACAGAATAAAGATATCTATTATCAAAAAAAAAAACCAGAATAAAGATATTTGCTCCCCTTACATTTCAAAGAACGTACTTTTATTTATAGAATTTTATTTTCTATAGTGCAAACCTTGAACAGCACCTGTTAGGAGGTACAAGTAGGTTCAAGTGGAAGTCCCAAAAAGGGCAAGGGTAGGCCCTAAACGGACATGGTTGGAAGCAATGAAAAAATATATGGTGGCTTATGGCCTCACTGAGGATATGGCCCTTGATAGAGCAAAATAAAGGACCGGGATTCGTGTAGCCGACCCCAAATAGTTGGGAAAAGGCTATGATGACGATGAAGACACTTGTTATAACCTAAATTTTATTGAATTAATGGACTTATTTTCTTCTGGACGTTTTCATATTGAAGGATAACTTTGTTCCTCCAAAAGTTAAAGATAAAAATGATGGGGAGAATCATGTATCTTTGTTTTCAGACAACAATATTCGAAGTTTTTAAGAAAAATAGACATAATTAATTGCCACCAAGAACTGTAGAGCTTCAAAATGTAAAATAACGGTTACACATCCATAATTGTGGCTATGATATATAAATAAAATAAGTTACACATCAAACGATGAGAAGGAACAAAGCATATGACCTACCAGGCAAAGTACAATAGACAGATTAATAAAGGAATCTAAATTTTGGGGGTAATCCACAAAGGAAACATTAGAAATTACATAAGCACATCTAGAAAGAGTGAGTAGAACAAATGGAGCTATAATATACACATATGTTGAGGACCATTGAGGTTGTGAGCGGACCATAGTGGAGGTACGAGCAGCTACATAGGTAGATTCATGTAGGGAAAAACAGGAGAATAATATCAACAAAATGCAATGTGTATCACGCTATCTACCATGAATCACAGTGTGCAAATCTCCCCGAATGAGTGAATACATCAACATTCATTTTCAGCAATAAAGGAACAATATCAATGCAATTTACCCTGGAAGAAAAGAAATTGGCACAAATACTAAAGTTCAGTACAATGCCTTTCACATAAAGAACTCTACTACTTTGGACCAACCACAGACCCATTCCATAAACTCAGGCCCAGTGTAACGAGACTCACCTCGGCAAGGGAACTTACTCCTTGGCTGAGGCGAGTTACTTGGCTAAGTCCTGATGAGGATGCAGCCAAGTCTTGCACAGGACTAAAAAGGCCTCAGTAAACTGAGAAAAAATGGAGAAAATAATAAAAAATGTATTAAAAAAAAAAAAACGTAAGGAGTCAAACTAAGCTGACAAAAGTATTGGAAAAATGGATTTAGAAAAAATAGATTTATAATTGGGGGCATTTTAAAAAATCTAAAAAAGGGAAAATATAAAAATTGGGATTTATGGCCAAAAACACACACCAATCTTTGCCAAAAACATATAAATCATACACAAAATGTATAGACCAATCCCACATTCTTTTACTATTTTTTCTGGAAATTTCTATTTTTTTAAAATATCCCCATTGTATACGCAACTCAAGGAAACTCGGCCTCAGCCATTGGGTGAGTCCGAGTTACTCTGCTAAGTCCGAGTGGACTCAGCTGAATCCCGGCACATTGCTCAGCCTAACATATGTAAGTCTACATGTTTTTTTTTTGATAAATATGTAAGTCTGCATGTTTATTTCTTCCAATGGAGAAAACATTTTAAAACAAATGACAGTCAGGTACTACTAAAGAAAGTCAGCTAACTGGCTCAGAGTGGGTAACAGCTCAGCAAAATAAACCTCCGGATTTAGTTACCTGACAACCTATAGCCTGGGGGACAATATCTTCGACACGTCTTAAACTTTGTTCAAGGGCACATCTTGCTTTTTCAAACTTTAACAGCACAGAATCAGATGTGATAGCCTAGCAAACACAAGAAAAAGGGCACAAGATTATTGGTACAGAGAATTAGAAATCCAGCTAGAATCATGTTTGGGTATGGGGTTTATCCCACAAAACCACTATCATAACATTACAAAGTTAACAAGTTGAAAACAATCAGAACATAATGATTATGAGGCCAAAAGTAAAAATCAAATGCAAAAATTTGAAACCAGCAATAGCTTCGCAATGGGGTTCATATTAAGCTAACTCCAGTAATACAATAGAGTAACAAAAGGAAAATTGCTCTCATAAATCACAACAGTTTCAATAAAATCGAGAATAATGTATTTGTCATAAAACTAGTTTCGATTATGAAACACCAAGATAATGTAGGATATTCTTAAAAAGGAAAGGGAAAAAATTGTTGCCTAGCAAAACTAAGCATACCAAATAAAGCTTGCTACAATCAGAGCAATGCTGAAGAAGGTTCTTGGACTTCTCCAGTGCTACATGTAGGGAGCACAACGCCTGTAATCCAGACTTGCACCTGGGCCGTGATGCTTCTAAAGCAGGAAATATAGCCATTACTTTGCAAACAAACTCCGACAGTTTCTTACACATCTCTCCATGTAACTGCATAAATAAAAGTGGCAACTAAGTCATGTTCATGCTTGGAGAGACCTATAAAAGAGTTGCTTCCACTTATAAGGAACTTAAATGACACAAATGACATTTGTCACGTATTCTTGAAACTAGACACTCATGTAAACCTTGATAGAATCAAGATATCACAGCAAGACAAAGAAATAAATCAAAAGGGCAATGGTGACCACAAATACAAATGATATAAGGCAATCAACAATATGCACTGTTTAGAAATGAGTATATTTCGGAAAACCAATCATATTCCTTACAGTTTTGCAATCATGAATGTGATACAAAAAAACAATAACTACAACGAGAAATAAGAGAGGCATTTTTTAATCGAAAAGGTTTATATAAGGTGTCAACCCCTTATAGTATAGAAGCGAGACGCACCTCAAAAATCCATCGAAGAAGGTTGTTCCCATTCTTGAAAACTCTCCAATCGATCATCTTAACATCAAGATGCATGACCATAGTTTTTTTCTTTTTTATGGTGGGGGGGGGGGGGGGGGGGGTTGTTGTGTGTGTGTGTGTGTGTGTGTGTGTAGGTAGGTACTTACGTAACGTTAATAAAGTGTGCACTACACAACTAATAGTACGACGACCTACTATTACGAGTACTACTACGTAATTAGTTTA